GGGACATGTTGAACTTGAAGTGCAGATGTTGGGCAGAATGTTGGATATACAGCAGCCTGGTGCTCAGAAAAAAGTTCTGGATTACAGATAGCAGACTGAGTAGAAGTGCTTCAGGGAGGCTGGTCCACACAGCGCCTGAGGTGGAATAACAGGAGACAGCACGGAGAAACAGGTCATAGTACCCGACCCTTGATCTTTGAGATCCTGTATGCTGCACTAGAGAGCTGTTGGGTTTTTTTTTTTAAGATTTTATTTATTTATTTTAGAGAGAGCATGCGTGCAAGCAGGGGGAAGAGCACAGGGAGAGGGAGAGAAAAAACCCCAAGCAGACTCCCTGCTGAGCATGGAGCCACACACAGTGCTCAATCTCGTGACCCCAGGATCATGACCTGAGCCACAGTTAAGAGTCAGATGTTTGACTGAGCCTCCCAGGTGCCCCTGCGCTAGGGAGTTTAAACTCCACCTTTCAGGTTATGGGAGCCACTAAAGCTTTTAAGCAACACAATAAAATAAACAAATCTGATTTTTAGAGATGAATTTAGTAGTCACGTGGAAGATGAATTGGAGAGAGGAGAGGGTAGAGACAAATAAGAAAATGAAAAGTTATTTGAATAGAGAAAAATAAACAATGATTAGGAACTGAACATATTATAGCAGCAACAAAGCTGTAACGGAGAAAAAGAGTCAAGTAATATACATAGGGATAATCCACAAACTTAAAAAAAATACATGTGGCAGAATAAAAAATACAGTCCTACACGAGTACTTGCAGGCTTCAACCCTCCTCCAGCCTTTTAAGTAGGGATTTGAGTCTTTGTTTTGAGAGACTTTTGAGTGAAATCGCACCGCTACGATGCTATGAAAAGTAGTAGATTTTTTGAGGAAATGGGTAAGTGAGGAGGCTTTTAGACCATTTTGCCATGTGTCATACTATGTAATCACCCTTTGGTATTTGGGGGTAGACTACAATAATGATTTCCATTACTTTTCCAATTTTTTTCTTAATGAATGCTATATTGGGCAAAGATGGTACTTCAGGTGAGTCAGGTACATCCGGGTTACTTATACATTAATAGAGTCAGTAAGACGTGGTGATCAATCAAATGTGGAAGTTGATAAAAAGGGAGTCCACGATGACTCCAGCAATGATGTCAGAAGTCTGGTGAGGCTTACTATAAGCAAAGAGCCTTAGCGGGTCAGGATCAGGAAAATGACAGCACATTCCGTTTTGATCCTGTGGAGTTTGAAGTGTTTGAGGGGCAGCCAAGCACAGAAGCCCAGCAGACGATCACTCTTCCATGACGGGAGCTCAAGGGATAGCCCTGGGCTAGACATGGAGACTTGAGATTCATTGATATTTTTTGTGAGTTTTGGGGCCATTGAATATATATGTGGTTTTTATGGCAACTGAATATATATATAAGGTACGTGGCTAAGGAAAATGAGAAGGTCAAGAATAGCAGGTAACATTCTTATGTAAGGGATGGTCTGAGAAGCAGGAGTTATCAAAAGAAGCTGAGCAGGGGCGCCTGGGTGGGTCAGTCGTTAAGCATCTGCCTTTGGCTCAGGTCATGATCCCGGGGTCCTGGGATCGAGCCCCGCATCGAGCCCCGCATCGGGCTCCCTGCTCAGCAGGAAGCCTGCTTCTCCCTCTCCCACTCCCCCTGCTTGTGTTCCCTCTCTGGCTGTGTCTCTCTCTGTCAAACAAATAAAATCTTTTTTAAAAAAAAAACAACAAAAGAAGCTGAGCAGACATAGCAGAGGTGCGGGAGGGTGCAGAAGAAAACCCAGGAAAGCAAGTGTCACAGAGCCCAAGGGAGGAAAGAGTTTCCAGAGGGAGTGGTCATCAGAGTCAAATGCCACAGAGAGGTCAGGTTAAGGCTGAAGTCACTGGATTTAGCAATTAGGAGGTGATTATTACCCTCAGCAAAGGCAACTTCAGGGGGATGGTGGGGAAAGAATTCCTGACAGCAGTGAGGAGAGGAAAGGATGAATGAGGGATGAAAGCAGAATACGATTTTAAGAAGCTGGTTTGTGAAGGAGAGGGAGGATAGAGAATGACATCAAAGGAGCAAGATACAGAAAAAGGGGAGGCATTTTGTTGGGGTGGGTTTTTTTTTAATTTATTTTGAAAGTGGTTGCTATTAGTATATATTTATAAGCCAAGGATATATAAAATTTATAGGACGTTGAATTTTATAGAAGCAGAGTCCCAGAGAAGGAAAGAAAGGATGCATGCAGAGTTTATACTCAGACCAGAGCGATGAAGTGGAAGGTTACACATGATCAGAGGGTTGCTGGAAGGGCTGTGGTGAGCGAAGGGAGTTCATAACAGATGGCAGTAAGGAGATAACAGGGAATGATATTCTGAAGTCGATAGTCCAAGTGAATAATAGGGCATAATTTCCTTCAGCAAACAAAGTGGGGGTTTTGCACACACACTGGGCTCTGTGCCAGGGGCTGGCTATCACAGGATGAAGAAGATGCCGGGAATCTCACAGTCTTCTCTGGTACTCACCCCCAAAACAACTTAGCTTTTATCCCTGCCTCTCTTCCCACCCACCCTCTCTTCCCATCCCCCTTTCCTTGTTCTTCTGTTTTATTACTCTCCTGTATGGATTTCTCCTCTCACTCTTCTTCTCCTGTCTCCCTTATCTGCACACTGAGCTCTCTGGACGCCATCTGGTCCTTTTCTCTTCCCCTCTCCCTCAAACTAAGCAAAACAAGGGAACAAAGTCAGCTTTGAGTTTTTCTTATTTATCGAATAAGTATTTGTTTCCTGTGCTTAATTTGTTTAAACAAATAGGTTGAAGATTTTATGCTTTTTTTTCTCTAAAGTTGTGCAGGAGTCTCAATTAGCTTTGTTCTATTGGTTAACGACTCTTATAAATAAACCTTCCCCAACCTGTGGCAGGGCCCCCTGGGGAAGGAAGGGACATGTTTCATCTGCAACAGACACAATGTTTATTTTGCATACACTGTTGATTCTTAGAAAGAGAGGACTTAAATGCTATAGTCTTAAAGAAAATAATGGTTTTGAGGTTTGTATGTATTATACCAGTAAGGAAAACATAAAGAACAAGGGAAAAAAATCATATTGATGCCCATACATTCAGTGTTACAACTGGAATTCAAATGATAAGGGAGTATACAAAAGAAATTTCTGGCCAAAGAAAACTGGTTGCATCTGGAAATCTCCTGCTGTCTGTTGCTAGCCAAGAAAATCAGTGCCTTTTTCTTTCCCCTGACCTGGCAACTGAACCGAACTCAGGCCCCGTGTTGCCCTGGTAACAGCAGATGACACCACACTGCTGAGAGGGAGCCCCCAAGCCACATGCAGCACAGGGGTCCCGACTCTGGTCTTGGAATCTCAGGAGTAACACACAACTGCGTTTGACACTGACTTTGGCTTCTTTAGCTGACTTTGGGCCACAAGTCTTTAACTGCACTTCAACAGAAGCAGTCCTTGACACTGATCATTTCTGTTGGGAGTAGCTACATAAAAAATTGCACCCATTGCTAAATTCTGCACCCAGTCTGCCAACAGCCTAAAATTGTTGGTCATTAAATTTAGAAATAGCACTCAAATTTTATGACTTCCAAACAACGCCTCCAATTATAAACTTCTTGTTAAATGTTTTGACATGTCCTTTATAAAGGAATCTTCAGTAAAGTTTTTTAAACTGTTCTAACTTTTATAAAAGGAAAATTCGTGGAGAGGAAGACTCTTCAGGGAGCACCAAGGCATGAAGTTGGGAAGGGGCCCCAGGACAAGTTCAGGTTCAGGTTCCCTGAAATGCAGGCCAGACTGGTGGGGTGGGGACAGACTTGTCCCCAGGTGGCAGCACTGAGAATGCAGTGGGCTTGTGTGAGCCATCTTCATGGCTAACGATGAGGCAGGAGCCAGAAAGCGCAAAAGGCCAAAAACAGCCCTTACAAAACTGTAGAGAAAACCAATTTGTCTTTGTGTTTTCCAGCTTCTTAACCCGGTTCACATGTGTTCATGCCAGCCAGCCAGCCTTCTGTACTACAAGGGTGTGTTTCCCACAAGCTCTTCACACTTGCCTTTCCTCAGGGCAGGATTCAGGCTGTCTTTCACAGAAGAACAAAAATATCTAATAAAATAGTTCACAGTAAGGGGTGCCCGGGTGGCTCAGTCGGTTAAGCGTCTGCCTTCGGCTCAGGTCATGATCGAGCCCCACGTCAGGCTCCCTGCTCAGCGGGAAGCCTGCTTCTCCCTCTCCCTCTGCCTGCCTCTCTGCCTACTTGTGCTCTCTCTCTCTCTGTCAAATAAATAAATAAAATATTTTTTAAAAAAATAGTTCACAGTAAATTACCAACTGGAGAGAAAACAGCTTCATTATATTCTTTTGGGGGTATTTGCATTTTAGAGGATGGCCTTAGAAGGCAGTGCGTAAACTGAAGAGGACACAGTCTTGGACAGAAATTTTAGCTGGTGTGGCAGGCAATTGGAGAAGTGCTTGGAGGCAGGAAGAGTATGCTTCCAGCCCCAGCACCCCTCCCATGGTGATGATGTATTCACCACATTTAAAATAATGATCTCTTGGCATGGATACATCCAAATTATTTTGTAGTGCGACCTACATTATCCAAAAGGACCTCAAGCCTTCTTTTCCTCTATTTTTCAGCCCACTTCTGACACCCAAACCCTGTGCTTGGTTGTAAAACCTTAAGAGAATCCAAAGGGCAAAAGTGTCTGCAAAAGCAAACAAGTAATTACTTTTATAGGTATGACATCATGGTTATATAAAGACATAAAATCGATCCTCTCCCCAATTTTATCATTCTTGAGAATTGAAACCAAATCTTCATGCTGTTTACTTTGTCAGTTTGATGGGACTAGAACTCATTTCACAAAGGATAAGGCTTTCCTTACATTGACTTTCGGATGGTTTTCTTTTACATAAATCATTTTTGCTTGCTAACTTAGCTTCTCTCTCACTTTTCCCCCTTTTCCCTCTCCCACGTACATTTCTCAGGACAAATGTTGCCTTTCACTTCACTGCCAGCCCCTCTCAACCTCAGGTAAGTGAAGGGTTTCAAGGTTATCGTGATTCTACCTGTTGACAATACCCTCCAAAAAGCCATAGTAATAGGCAGAGTCAGCATGCAGTGTTGCCCTTGACTTTTTACAACTTGTGATATATTTGCATTTTTGACGTGTTGTTCATATTACTGGGATTTTAGACACAACGTTTAATCTTTTCACCTTAATTGGTATGAAATAGGAGGCGTGACATCTGTTGGCAGATGTTCGTTGGCTCAACTTTTAGCAAATTGCATGCCTGTTATGCATCAAGGACAGTATTAGGCTGTCCTAGGTGCTGGGGATACGAGGTGAAGAAGAAAGAGACGCAACTTCTGCCCTCATGGACCTTGTACTCAAAATGGGTGCTGGGGGCCAGGGAGTGGAAGGCCAAACACAATACAGGTACACAAATAATTAACTGACCTAGAAATGCAATAAAAACAAGACAGACTTTAATTTCCACAGTGTTATGGGTAGAATAAATTAGTTATTCCTGTCATAAAGAGAGACCAGGAATGCTGACATGAGAAGAATTAGATATTTGTGCTGTGTTCTCCATTAAACCATAATCATAAACAGAATAAATACTTGAAAACTTTGATTTAAGCCGCTTTTCTGTTGACACTTCTAGCTACCTTCCTTTTTTCTTTCTTGGCTTCTGAAAGAGTAAAGTCTATGCAATAGCAAGTTTATAACAGATTTATTTAATGTCCTGATATTTTTTGTAAATCTTCTGCAGGCTGTAATACAGCTTAGGTCATATGTGGCTACTTAATTTTTTGTTTTGGATATGCTAAAACTGGGATTAACATATATATGGATACTGGTGTAATTCGATTACAGACATTTACTTGCTGGTAAATATTTAACAACCAGTTCCCAGAGAGAAACTCCTGATTTGTAGCATTTGCCCATTTCTGTGGTGAAAATACTTCTATTCTGGCTAATCTCAAGCTGCCAACATGATGTCCTTGAATACAGAGTTGGGAAGAGATGTGTGCAATTGGCTCTCCAAACCTGTATGAGCCAACTCCCACACATCTTTTAGGAGCTAGATTTCCCATCAGTGAGAGCCTCCACACTGCGTATACACTGCCACCCAGTGACAAAACCAACTCCTATAGTATATAGGAATATATATGATAGGGGCGCCTGGGTGGCTCAGATGGTTAAGCGTCTGCCTTCGGCTCAGGTCATGATCCCAGGGTCCTGGGATCGAGCCCCACATCGGGCTCCCTGCTCTGCGGGGAGCCTGCTTCTCCCTCTGCCTCTGTCTCTCTCTCTCTCTCTGTCATGAATAAATAAATAAAATCTTTAAAAAAAAAAAAAAGTTTCTCTTTCTTAAAAAAAAAAAAAAAAAGGAATATATATGATACTCCTGTTGCTAACGGTGATCACAGTAATGCTCTTGGGTTACAAAGTTCGGCTTTTCTAAGAACCAAAAATACTTCTTGAGAATTCCAGAGCATTTACCTTTGGAAGAGCCCTGTATTATATGTATTTGAATCAAGCTCCAAAATGAAAGGTCCAAATGAAGTGGGTTCTTGGGAGTGTTGCCATCTGTTACAAGGCATGAACAGACTTCCAAACTGCAGCGTTAATGACACTCCTTAATCTTGAGGTTATTTTTTTCCCCATCAGAAGGTTGTGGATTATTGGACAACATTCTATTTTTACTGCTCTGATTCTCAGTATAAGGTTAGTAAAGAGGATGCTGGAATACAGAATTAAGTTTTAACATGTCTTGCCTCTCCTTTAAACTGATAGATTTATTAGAGTCCTAGGATATTGGGCTTGTTTTGGCTGGTGTCCTCAAAATCTTAATGTCAAGCTTCTCAAGCAGTTACCACATTTATAGTTATTGGACAGAAGCTTCCTTTCTTCATTTATTGGCAACATGTTGAAAAGTCAGGGTTACCAACAGTGGATTCATAATCTAATCTAGGTAAATTGGTATAACTTCTTTCTATTATAAATACTTCCTGATTCTGATGATACCTGAGAAATAATTTTGAAGATATCTCAGCCTGCTCCAAATTGTGAACATATTTCAAGGCACTAGAAGTAGTGCTTGATCTTTGAATGGAAATATTGTCTGGCTATATTCCAGCCAGGAAACAGATTCTTTAGCAAGAAGTCTAGGCGCAGGGTAGGTCTAGTGGTAATTCTTGCCTAAAGGAAGGTTGTTAAGAATCTTGAAGAACAGGGCGCCTGGGTGGCTCAGTTGGTTAAGCGACTGCCTTCGGCTCAGGTCATGATCCTGGAGTCCCGGGATCGAGTCCCGCATTGGGCTCCCTGCTCGGCAGGGAGTCTGCTTCTCCTTCTGACCCTCCTCCCTCTCCTGCTCTCTCTCTCAAATAAATAAATAAAAAATCTTTAAAAAAAAAAAAAAGAATCTTGAAGGCTTATCTGCTTTTCAGTGTGGAGCTTCCTACTTCAAAATGATCACATAGAAGTAAATGCTGTCTCATGTTACATCTTGAATATCCCTAGTTCAAAGGGTTGGGGGGATCTTCTTAAGCAGAAACTGGAATGAAGTACAGGAAAGTTTAGTTGAGAAAGAAATGCTAACAAATGAAATGACAACATTGTCTGAAATGGCTACCTTGTTTTGTTCACTGCTGTATGCCTAATATCTGGCTCAGAGCCCAGAGCCCTGCACACAGCAGTTGCTCAATATATGTGAGATGAATGGCTGACTGAATTAATGGAGATTGTAAAACCAGTTTGAATTCATAACTGTAAACATTCTTTAATATTAACAAATCATTTCTTTCTTTTTCTTATTCTCAGTATTTTCTATACAAATTTCCTGATGATGTGGACTCAGTTATTATTAAAGTCAGGTCTGAAATGGCTTACCCATGTTCTGTTGTCTCAGTGCAGAATATCACGGTGAGTCTTAATAACTTGTGAACCTTTCAATATGGAGCATAATATTGTCCCAGGATAAATGAAAGAGGAGGGTGGGGACCATGTCGTCCTCTTACCCTGTATCTCCTGCAAAACTGCTAAATAATAAAATCAGTATCTTGTGCACACAAGTGGATAATCTGTTTGGAAACACTGATTTGGGGAGATGGAGACTAGTTGACTCCTCACCAAAATAAACAAAGGAAAGAAGGAAGGGAGGGAGGATCATGACAAAGAATATGGAAGACCAAATCGTGGGCTGCTCAAGAAACATAGAAACCTACTGTTTATTCTAGGTTTTAAAATTTTTATTGTAACCATAGGCCATTTCTGTCTCATAATGTGTTAATAAAAAATGGGAAAGGTGTTATAAACTTTAAGACAATGTTTTCAGTTCTTTTTGATATAAAGTGACCTTTAGAGAACTTTAGAAGACAAGGCACCAAGTTTTAGGAGGACTGTTGTGTGACTTTTCTTGGAGAAAATGTTTCCTGGTTTTGGGTTTAGTAAGGAACCCCTTGCTCTGTGATCCAGGCGGAATGCGTGGTGTGTATAGTATGGCTTTAGTGATGCTTTCTTTTTTTATCCTTCATGCACATCACAGTGTCCAGTGCATGATCTCGACCACAATGTGGAATTTAATGGTGTCTATCAGTCTATGACCAAGAAAGCTGCCATCACACTACAGGTGAGACATCACTTCTGGGGTCACTATTGTCAATGACAATACACAGTTTATTCACAACACACAGTCAGGTCACCTGTTGGGCCAGCATCCAGAAGGTATCATCATTCACTGTGTGCCTTGGATAGCTTTCCTTTATGATGGGTTTTAAAATCAAGATTGTGGGGCCCCTGGGTGGCTCAGTCAGTTAAGCATCTTCCTTCAGCTCGGGTCATGATCTTGGAGTCCTGGGATCAAGCCCCGCTGTGGACTCCCTGCACAGTGGGGAGTCTGCTCCTTCTCCCTCTTCCTCTACTCCTCCCCATCCCCCAGTCGTGCTCTCTCTCTCTCACTCTCAGATAAATAAAATTTAAAATAATAAGAGTAAAAATAAGTAAAACAAAATAAAACAAAGATCGCTTCTCCTGAAATCAAAGCCCAGGCCATGGTGGACAACGCTACTCTGCCATTCCCCTTGGGAAGTCTTAGGAACCCATGATGCAGTGGAACATATATCTGACAGACTGCTTAGAGAGGTAAGATGAGATACCAATCTCCTCATTGGGGGATGCCAATTTAGTGTGAAGTTTGATCTATTAAAAGGAATTGAATACTCTGTATCCTAATACTCTGTATACCTATAACAGTAACCAAAAGAGGACTTCCATTCTGGATAGAATGGATAAGTTCAAAGGAATATAGACCACATGTGTATAGCGGTTTGCCCTTTTGTCATTTGTAATTAAATTATTATTTCAATGACAGTTTTATAGCAAAAATGAACATATATCATGTCAGTAGATTTTCAAAGAGATTCTGTCCCTGCCTTTAGGGTGGTGTTTACTTAAGTTACTTACAACTTGGTCTGTTCTCCAGGGTAAGGTGATACTGTTTACTAAATAACAAGGAATGAAGAGAGGTTAATTATAATTTAGCTATCAAATGTAAAAAGCCCTATTAGGCTTTAATTTCCTAGTGCCTCAGTTTTGATATGCCAAATATCTGTTCTTGTTCACTCCTGAATAAGGAGACTGGGACACAGAGAAGTACACTTAGAGAAAGTTAAAGCCAGGACTATAACTCAGGTCGCCTCACTTAAATCTTTGCATCCCTAACCTAAATTATTTAATTGTGGCTGTGTGACTTTTAGGAAAGTCATTTATCATTAGATTATTTTTATTTTCTATTTTTTAAAGATTTTATTCATTTATTTGAGAGAGAGAAAGAGCACACACGGCGGGGGAGGGAGCCGGGAAGGGCAGAGGGAGAGGGAGAAGCAGAATCCTCCCCCCCCCACCCCCCAACCGCTGAGCAGGGAGCCAGACTCAGGCTCGATCCCAGGACCCTGAGATCATGACCTGAGCTGAAAACAGACGCTTAACCAACTGAACCACCCAGGCACCCCTATCATTATATTTTAAATAATAAAAACTTAATATAGTGAACCTAAAACACTCTAAAGTATGCTAATTTTAAAAACATAGTATACAAGTATTAATTATTAAACATAGGCTGTTAACATACTTTTTACATGGGACCTATTACAGTTCTAAGCACCTAAGTGGACACAAGATAGATTGAAATTAGAATAGTGTATGTACTTGAATTTTTTGTATGTAACAATTATTTTATTGTGGATAAAATCTGATGTAAATCATGGGTATCTGAAGGATCTTTCTAAGAAATTAGGGGGTAGGGGTGAACTTCACTTTTCTTCTCTTTCCTCTCTGTTCACACCCCCACCAGCATGGACTTTCTCCCCTTTTGCTATCCTTTCTTGCTATCACAAGTTGTTATGTCTTATGCAGAAGAAGGATTTTCCAAGCAAGCAGTTCTTCGTGGTATTTGTGATAAAGCCTGAAGATTATGCCTGTGGAGGATCTTTCTTTATCCAGGGTAAGAGATAGTGAGGAATGCTTGCTTCTTAGAAAAACCTAATGAAATGGAATGGGAGGGAAGGCAAAAGCTCACAGTGGCCTCTTACTACCATCTCTAGTTCTCACTGAGGGTCATCAGCAGTCACTTGCCAGGCAGTCTGAGAGATATTTGAAAAAATATATATAAGGAAGAAAATGATCAATCTAAAGCTATTGTTGATACTAGAGGATGTCACTTAGTGCCCTACATCTTTTCAAAGTCTTCTGCTCCCTCAGACCACGTGAGGTTTACTCACTCAGTTGGCCTTTTACTCAACAAATATTTGCTATTATGTAATAGTGATTTTATGCAGCATATCAAGGTCCACTTTCTAAGATCAGTTTGGTAGCCAACAGTAATGAGCCACTGTATTTATCCGTAGTCATCATTTCCACAAGGACGTACAAGGAAAATTCAGAGTTCTCAATTTCAGTTGCCAAAATTTTATACCTGGCAAGATGGTAAGAAAGCAAAGTGGACAATTTATCCCCATGACAGGCATTGTGTGAGCTCTTAGGCATAGTAAAAATGGTTATGGGTCACTACTTAGGAACTACTGTGGGAATGGAATAGGCTGTTGATTGAAAACACAGACCCCTCCCCCAGCAGCTGAGGAGCCACATGTGATTAACACGGAGGGTGTTTACTACTGAGTATACATCGTTCTCTTGCCATTTGGGTGAAATTTCTGCTTATGTATTCTTTAATCTCTTAACTATATAGTTTAGAATTTTGCCGGTGTCCATTGTCCTTTGGTAAACTATGAGTCCTTTTATGACTATATAACAAAAAACAAATTTTCACTGGCTGGAATAGTGCAAACCAAAAGATGAGACAGCTTTTATTTTAGTAGCTGTTTTCTTCAGATGTCTGTGGCATATTGAGTCACATGGATAGCAGAGGATGAGCCGAGCCTTCTTCACTCCAGAAGGGGGGCTGCAGTCTCACTGCTTCAATACTATCAAAATACACCCAAGCAAAGGCCAAATTGAAGGCTTAGCCCAAAGGGGTATTAGATGGTTTGTAGCTTTGGGGATTAGGTTTTCCTCTAGTTCTTGCTACAAGAAAATTCAGCAACCAGAGCTAATTGTGGACAGTTTTTGAACAACCGTTCAGATGAGAGGCCAAGAACCAAATATCTGATCTATTGTGCCTTGTTCTTTTTTACCAGAAAAGGAGAACCAAACCTGGAATCTACATCGAACAAAGAACCTTAAAGTGACCATTGTTCCTTCCACTAAAGGTCGGTATTGCCTCTAGGATTCAAAGGAGAAAAATTTCTATGTGAGGAAGTCAATCATATGCATCAATGCTAATGCCAGCCTTCCAGAGAAACATCATAAGAAAACTGGTATTTACCTTAGAGATAGAAGAGAGAATCAAAGCATTTTGTTAAATCTCTTCCAGAAAGAGAGGGAACTCAATTGTGAAGTTGTATACGGGAAGTCCCTTCCTTACCTTCCACTGGCAACTCATGAGTGTGAAAGGTGGCCATTTGTGAATAATGTCGGGGTGACCTCCTGCAGTTTTGCTGCTTTGAATGGAAATATATTAGGACTTCAGAATGGGTATGATGGAGATGGGCCCATGAAGCTGTCCTGTCCCAAACATGGTCCTCTTTTCTCCTGAGGACACCCTGACCCAAGTTGTTTCTCTTCCCTCAGGATCTGTTGATGTGAATTCCATCCTTATCAGTCTCTTCATCTTCTTCTTCTTCTACTTCGGATTCCTGCTTATTGTGCTTGTTCATTGTATCAGGTAAATCAAGAGTATCAAGAAATGTTAATCCCCTTTGCCTTCTCTGCATAGGAATTAGAGCATTAGGCTTTAGAGCCATATTGACCAGATTCAACTCTACCTCAAGCACCAACCGTGTGACCTTGGGCTAATTACTTAATCTTTCTGTGCTTCAGTTTCCTACTCACCATAATGAGAGCATAATTTCCCTCCTAGGGGTGCCTGGGTGGCTCAGCCGGTTAAGCGTCTGCCTTTGGCTCAGGTCATGATCCCAGGGTCCTGGGATCGAGCCCCGCATCAGGCCTCCTGCTCAGCAAGGAGCCTGCTTCTCCCTCTCCCTCTGCCTGCTGCTCCCCCTGCTTGTACTCTCTCTCTCTCTGTGTCAAATAAATAAATAAAATCTTTAAAAAATAATAATAATAACAATTTCCCTCCTAGAATTGTGTAACTGCAGTATTCACATCAATGTCCTGCACAGAGTGAGTGCTGGTAGAGTGTTAGTTCTTTTCATAGTTAATAAAACCTCAACAGAAAGACAGCGTGGCTATTTTTTGGACCAGGAAATCCTGTAAATCCTATGGAATGTAGGAAATGATGAGTTCTTCCCAATATGGAGAAACATATTAAATATTCCATTAATAGCTTTAAATATTCCATCAACAAGTAAATTAATACCTGAAATAAATCTCAAGGTATACTAAACAGCAGGAGTGATGTGCTTTGGTACCGTATTAGCAGCTGCTTTCTTACTACTATAGCATCAATTTTCCAGTAAAATGTCCCTTGAGAGGAAAAAAAGGAGATGATGGTACTGTAATTTGACCAAGACAATTTCCCTTCCCAAGAGTTTGGAGTCCATAATAAAAAGGGCCCCGGTTTCTCCTTGCATCTCTGAGCAGGCCCTAACACTGAGAATCCTGTACCTTGTTGGGGTCTCTGTGAGGCAACTACAAAAAATGGCAGAAGGCCTACAATAAACAAATGTTCATTCCTGTCTTGAACACACAAAGAAAACAAAGCACAGAGCTTTCAGCACACAGTTTTCAGACTACCGGGCAAGCTCACAGCATTGATGGAAAACTTCCCGGCTACCACAGTAATACAGCTGTCTCAGGGTAGAGGCCTAGCTCGGATTCAAAAAATAACTCTCTTCTGTGACCTTCACAGAGCGTTTCCGTTGAGAAACTGAATTTTAAAACCCTGGGACTACCACTGGCCATATCTGGCACAAATGGAGCATCAAAATAATTAAGGATAATAAATTTATAAACCACTGAGAAAAATAGAAATTTGTGAATCCAAATTGATGAAGGGAGAGAGGGAGAGAAGGAGGGAGGGAGGACCTAAATACCTCCAGATACAAATCCAAAGGCGCCAACCACGTAGTACGCATTAGGGAAGGGAGCCATTAGCAAATGCTGACAATGTAAGGGAGGACTCTTGCCTATATCAGAAGGCCAAAAGCTGCTGGAAAATATGGAAGGAGTGCTGGCATTGGAAAATCATCATTTTGCATAGATTAAGAATCATCAGTGGATACTAAAATACGAGGGAAATCTGATGAGAATCAAGGTACTGCACTGCCATAAAGTGTATCCCCATGATTTGCTTCCTAGTTGTAAGGGAAACATAGTAACTCTCCAATGGAAACTCAGACCAGGATTGGCTGGGTGATCAAAATTAATGTGAGCGAGGGGAAGATGGATGTTGTGTGCCTCCACATGGGACACTCTGAGGAGACAGCACCACGTATGCAATATTCCAGCCAGAAAGGCATATTTTATATGTAATCCTGAGGACAAACTGAACTAACTCAAAATGACAAACATTCTATTAGAACGTGTCTTCAGAGACAAAGGAAGGCCATGGAAATGGTCTAGATTGAAGGAGACGAAAGAGATATGGGCAACTAAAGGCAACACCTGGTCTCAGACTGGATCTTTTGCTAGAAGAAGAATATGCTATAAAGGACATTATTGGATCAATTAACAAAATTGTAATACAGACAGATTAGGTAAGAGTATCATATTGATGTTAAATTTGCTGAATCTGACAACGACACTATGGTTAAGGAAGAGAATATCAGAATATCTTTATTCTTTGGAAGTATTGAGAGTGCCTGGCTGGCTCAGTCAGTAGAGCATGAGACTCTTGATCTCGGGGTCATGAGTTTGAGCCCCATGTTGGGCATAGAGCTTACTTTAAAAAAATGGAAATACTAGGGCGCCTGGGTGGCTCAGATGGTTAAGCGTCTGCCTTCAGCTCAGGTCATGATCCCAGGGTCCTGGGATCGAGTCCCGCATCGGGCTCTCTGCTCCTTGGGAGCCTGCTTCTCCCTCTGCCTCTCTCTCTCTCTCTCTGTCTCTCATGAATAAATAAATAAATAAAATCTTTTTAAAAAATGGAAATACTTAGGAATAACAGTTCATTACATAAGCAACTTACTTTCAAATGGTTCAAAAAATTATATATATATATTTTAATGTGTGTGTATATATATATACACACACATATATTATACACATGCAGAATGATAAAGCAAATGGGGTATCATGCTAACAATAAGTGAATCTAAATAAAGGGTATTTGGGTGTTTTATATTTTATTCTTATTTTTACAGCTTCTCTGTAAATTTGAAGTTATTTTCTAATAAAAGTTAAAAACAAAATCCCTAGTGTAGAGGCAAATATATCTGGAAAGTATATACATTAACCGATTATCAGCCTACTTAATTTACTAGATCATAATGGCTGACATTTAAGAGGCACCATGCTGAGCCCTCTGAGCAAATTATCTCATCTAATGCCCTACAATAAGTACTAGTATTTTTTTTTTAAAGATTTTATTTATTTATTTGACAGAGACAGAGACAGCGAGAGCAGGAACACAAGCAGCGGGAGGGGGAGAGGGAGAAGCAGGCTTCCCGCGGAGCAGGGAGCCCGATGCGGGACTCGATCCCAGGACCCTGGGATCATGACCTGAGCCGAAGGCAGACGCTTAACGACCGAGCCACCCAGGCGCCCCTTTTTTTAAGATTTTATTTGTTTGAGAGAGAGAGAGAGCAAGAGAGAGAGCACAAATAGGGGGGAGGAGCAGAGAGAGGGAGAAGCAGACTCCCTACTTAGGGTGGAGCCTGATGCGGGGCTCGATCCCAGGACCCTGGGATCACGACCTGAGCCGAAGGCAGACGCTTAACGACTGAGCCACCCGGGCGCCCCAATAAGTACTAGTATTATCACCACCTGATGGTTAAGGAAATTGAGGCATAGAGATATGAAGCAGTTCGACCAAAGATTCATAGCCAATAAATGAGGGACCTGGGATTTGTCTGGATTTCCAGGCAGCCTGGCTCTAGAGCCTGGCAGGCTAGTCAAGACGGGTCTGGAGTGGTCAGGGCATGTGAGGGAGGGCAGCCCTGACCAGGGAGGCCAAACCAAAAGTCTGGCACCCCGGCATGGATGCGATTGGGAAAGGACCCAAAAAGCTCTCAATTTTGACTCAGATGAGCTCCAAGATCATGGAAAAAGAAGTTCATCTCTTCTGCCTCTCTTAGGAAAACCATCTCTATGCCTGATGATTTCAATTTTAGAAGATAGGATTTTACCTCTTTAGTTAACAGCATGCATAATCAACATACCAACAGACAAAAAATTAAGAACTGGATATCAATCTCCCTAAAGTTGTCATTCAGCCTACAGAAGCAAGCACAGCTTTTGCAAGTTGAGGTAGAAGGCTCTGTTGAAACCTCTGGCTGCCAGCTTATTTTGCTACAGTCAATTGCACTAGCATAAATTCTTTCCAAATACAGAGAAGCTGAAAATAGAAATCTGGAGACATAAGAACTATTTGGCATTCTTTTTTTTTTTTTTAAAGATTTTATTTATTTATTTGAGAGAGAGAGAATGAGAGAGAGTACATGAGAGAGGGGAGGGTCAGAGGGAGAAGCAGACTCCCCGCCGAGCAGGAAGCCCGATGCGGGACTCGATCCCAGGGACTCCAGGATCATGACCTGAGCCGAAGGCAGTCGCTTAACCGACTGAGCCACCCAGGCGCCCCTATTTGGCCTTCTTAATAAGAGGATAGACTAAGGGAAAACGCTAACAGAACTCTTCCCTCATTGAACTCAGCAGAAATAACAGTTTTCTACAAAACCAAATGAAGCCAGTCCTGGAGCATAATGCCATTTGCTTGATGAGCTCCCTGTACTTTATTATTAATACATCTGGGGTTTGCAGTACATGCTAGGAAATCAGAATGAAACATGAATAAGAGACATGGCTCCCGCCCTCAGGGAGCTAAGAATCCAAAGTATTAGCTGTACTGACTTGAACCTAAACCCCATTCCCCTCCCATTCCCAGCCACAATCCGTTCAACAAGTATTTAAGGAGCCACTACAATAAATGTGCACACCCTGGGCCAAACACTGGATATATGTTCTCTTTTTTTTTCTTTTTTTATTATTATTATGTTATGTTAATCACCATACATCATTAGTTTTTGATGTAGTGTTCCATGATTCATTGTTTGCGTATAACACCCACTGCTCCATTCAATAAGTGCCCTCCTTAATGCCCATCACCAGGCTAACCCATCCCCCCCCCCAGAACCCTCAGTTTGTTTCTCAGAGTTCATCGTCTCTCATGGTTCATCTCCCCCTCCGATTTTCCCCCCTTCATTCTTCCCCTCCTGCTACCTTCTTCTTTTTTTTTTTTAACATATAATGTATTATTTGTTTCAGAGGTACAGATCTGTGATTTAACAGTCTTGCACAATTCACAGCACTCACCATAGCACATGCCCTCCCCAATGTCTATCACCCAGCCACCCCCTCCCTCCCACCCCCCACCACTCCAGTAACCCTCAGTTTGTTTCCTGAGATTAAGAATTCCTCGTATCAGTGAGGTCATTTGATACATGTCTTTCTCTGATTGACTTATTTCACTCAGCATAACACTCTCCAGTTCCGTCCACGTCTGGATATATGTTCTCTTTTTTTTTTTTTTAAAGATTTTATTTATTT